TATATATATATATATATATATATCGAATTTCTTTAATATTGTTTTTCAATTTTTAAAAATAATTTCTAAATTTTATAATAAATCATCAACTTTGACAATTATTTCTAATTTTTCTGCACTTTTCAAAGATATTTTTTTCTTGAAAAATATTTATATTGTGTGATTCACATGATTTATTTTAAAGAATGTACATAAATAAAATGTACATGAATAAATAAATTTTACTTATTTAAATAATCTTAGCCTCTCGATTGTTGGATTTATATTTATAATCTAAGAAAATATTATAGAAATATGAAATATAATTGAAAGACTTTCATTATTTTACATACTTAAACAAAGTATTTCTTACGAACATTACACAAATCTCTTGATGATATATCAATTCTCTTAAGAAATTTTTATTGATTTGATAAAATGTATATTTATTCACCACATGAATTATTATAAAATTTTCACATTCTCGACGTTAAGTAAAACATGATGTCGCTTTGAACTTTCTCATAAATACCGCAAAGTCTATGAATAAAGGATCAAGAAAGGAAGGGGTGAATCTATATATGGTTAATTGGGCAATAGGTCAAGGTTCGATAATTCTCTATCTTTATTTCTAATTTTTATCACAAATGCATTGAATTTTGATTACAATATTATTTTATTTGAAAATTTTTCATTATGTAAAGGATTATTTTGTAAGAGTGATTTTGATAATTTAATTTAATAATTTATTTTTAATTAATAATTATTATTAATATAAAAACAAATATAATTTAAAAAAACATTCGTTGTTGCATTAATATCATCGTATTATTAATAATATTGGATAATCTGTAAGAAAATAAGATAAATTTATTTTCATCATAACAGAAAAAACATTTTTATAGATATTTTTATTTAAAAATTTCATGCAGCAATGTTTTCGCAAATATCATATTAATACTTAACAATAATAAAAATAATTTATTGAAGAAAAATAATTAAACACTCTATATTTATATATTTAAATGTATAAAATATAATTG